GAAGAATACCTAAATAAAACGAATAAGGACTAAGTAAAAAATAAGGTATACTATCTATAAAAGGGCTATAGACTAGTACGATATAATAAGATCTAAGGACCCTATATATAGTAATAGTAAGCTATAGTAACTAAATAGTATTAGATATCTAAATCGCGGGATATTACGCGCGTATACTTTTAGACTATAACGTAATAGGTAATTACGTTTTACCTAAAGTCGTTAATCGTTACCGACTTATATAGAGATATAAGAAAGATTTATATAAACTTACGAATATTGAAAGAGAGGCCTTTAACTATAATAACGGAATTATTAATATAGAGATTAATTACGTCGATATTAATATCTAGGGCTATAACGAACAAGTTAACTTCGATATTATAGATATTAAAGAATATAACCTTATATTAGGACTTCTATAGCTATAGGAGAGCAACCTACTAATTAACTAGAAAACTAGCTAGCTATATTAAAACAAAGATATAAGTTTCTAGGACTAGTAGATATAGAAGAAAGTAAAATTTTATAATAATTTAGCTACTAAATAGGATAAAATAGATAACCGTTTAAGTAAATTATTATAGGCTTTAGCGATATAAACGAAAATAGTAACTAAACTAGCGGATATAATAAAATCGACTAATAAGACTTATATTCTCGCGAAGAGAGATGCGAGAAGTGCATGAAAATGCACGAAGGTAAAATTGGAAGTAAGGGGTCGGACAGGTAGGGCAGAGATGTTTGAATCTTGCGGGGGCAGCAATTGCAGTAGGGGAGTGATTGTTGTATTGCCTTGATTGTCCTTCTTTCCTCTATCCAACGCCCCTCTTTATACCCTTCTAGCATCTCAATTAACAAAGAAGATCCTGCTTAAAGAAGCCACTAATGTCCTTTCGACTACCGAGCTTTTGCCGGTTTTCCCCTCCTCTAGCCGTTGCCGGCATATCCGTCTTATCTCTTCGCCACCTCGCAGGAAGCCATCGCCACTTCTGCTTCACCCTTCTAAAGGGAAAAACCTCTTCCTTTTCTTCGGCTATAGACGTTACCTTCTCGTACGTGCCATTAGCTCCTCTCGTAGACTCTCAAGGCGGGCCTCTAAGGACAGCTTTTCTCGAACGTCTTCTAGCCCTATTTGCTGTAAAAAGACAGCCAGCTTCTGCTTCGGCAGGGGCTTCGTAAGACCGTCGGCTTTCATCGATGCCGTTAGAACCCAACGGACGGAAATAAGTCCCCTTTGGACCTCTTAGCGTAACCAATGCTGGTGGATATCGATATGCCGTAGCCGGGTCGATAGCTTGCTATTTTCCTCCGTAAGAATTCGTATAGTCTGCGTGTTATCGCATTCTATAGCTAACGGGGACGGAATTTACAGTCGTAACGATATTAGTAGCCGGCTAAGGAAAATCGCTTCTTTTGACGCTTCTGAAAGAGCTAGTAGCTCTGCCTCCGTACTAGAAGTCGTAACGGTAGCCTGCTTCGAAGCTCTCCAAGCAATGGTTCCTCTAAAAAGGGACATGATATACCCCTGTGAGCTCTTTCTGTCTAAGGAATTGTCCGTAAAGGACGAATCGCTCGAACAAAGGAAGATTTCGGCAGCTTATTTCCTTCCCTGCCCTCCTAGGCGCAGACCATGTGATCTCGTTGAATAGAGATAAAGGATAGCTCTGTCTGCTGCTTCTTGATGCCTAGGGCTAGGATTCTGGTTGTGCCTAGCTGGGAGACCGTAAAAGAGATATCCGGTCTAGTAGAAATAGCTGAAAAAGCAGGAGCCCACCTTCTATTAATATTGTTTTCTCTTGCTCCTGGCTTAAAAGGACAGATCAGGTAAAAGCTCTTCGTCTAACATAGGCGTAGAGGGAAGCTTCTTGTCGAGGTGGGAGGAATTTATAAGCGACCTTATCGATATAGGCGTCCTAGGTAAGCTAGATAGTCCGTTGGGACCTATTCCTAAGGATTCGTATCCCTAGGAACCACTTTGGCTCCCCTAGCCTGGTCATCTTATACCTTTGTTGCAGGCCTCGTATAGCCTCCCTAGCAGTAGCTTCTTCCTCTTTCGGGTAGGCCCAGATAATGTTATCGACGTAAAAGAAGACCGTGATTTTACCCTTCTGCATTATACACGGTTCCTGAGGGACTTTCGTAAATCCTAGGGCTTCGAGGGAACCTGTTAAATGCTGTTGCCAAAGAAGGGGTGATCTTCGTAGTCCGTATAGAGCTTTCCTAAGCCGTAGAACCTTTCCTAGCTGTTGGAAGCCTGGTGGAAGGCGCATGTAGACAACTTCTTCTTCCTCGAGTAGGCAGTTAACAAAGGCGTTGACTGCATCTATCTAATCGAGCTCGAGGTCGAATTCTGCTGCTATAGCCATAAGGGTCCGAAAAGACATCCCTGCTAGGGTAGTTGCCTACAGTAGGTAAATCCCCTTTCCTATTGATTCCCACAGACAACTAGCCGGGCTTTGCACTTAAAGGAAGCCGTGTTTATTAGTCTTATAGAAGACCCACTTACAGCCAAGGACCTGTTTTCCTCTTATGGACCTCTTCGAAAGACCCTATCTCTTCGTGTGAGGCTAGGTGGTCTTTCTAGGCCTAGAAAAACTGGTCTCTAAAGGGGTGTCTTTCTAGCTGCTTCTAGTTTGCTGGTGGGTCCGGGAGGTCTCTTTTATGTACCTTCCTTGCTGATACTGGCTTAAAAAGCCGGCCTACTGTGAACGCTCCGTGGGAACCGTCTTCTATCGGCGTTAGGTAGAAGTCGGAAAAACGATCGAAATAGGGGAGAGGTTGGTCTTCTTTAGTATCCGTATCGGGCCCTATACCTTCCTTTGCTTCTCGAAGCAGGGACAAAAGGCAGCCGGGTAATCCTTCGAGAGGTGCCTTTCCCACCCCTTAGGGGTCGAGACGGAAGACTGACTGAAAAAGCTGCTTCTAGATCTTCTTCTTGTTCCGTAAGAGGAGGCGTAGGGAGGTAGGCGTATTCTAGCTCTACCGCTTTCCTATAGTCTCCTTCTTCGTCTAGATCATCTGATCTAGCAGCTTTCTCTTCTTCTTCTTCTTCGAAGTCGGCGTTATCCTCGACTGCTTCGACGTCGGTTTCTTCTTCCGTTTCCTCGTCTAGGACTTCTTCTTAAGACTGTTAGGAAGGGGGGATTTAAATCTTCTGAATTAGCTGACGTTGAGAGAGTAAAAGGGGCTGTTGATCCCTCTTTCCGTTAAAGAAGCTAAATTCGTCGAAAATCACATCCCTAGTCGAAATAACCTTCCGTAGAAGAGGAATCTAGATCCGGAAGATATTCGTAGAATTATAACTAACGAGGTAACTAATAAAGGCTCTAGGATCAAGCTCTTTCTTCCTTCCTTAGCTGTGCATCGGCAGTCATTGCGTATGCCTTACAGCCGTAGGCACGAAGGTGGGCTAGCGAGGCCCTCTTCTTCGTGAAGAGCTCGAGGGGGGATTTCTAGTCTGTTCCTTAGGTAGTCCCTCTAGGGGTCCGGTTCCGAAGGTAATAGGCGGTCTCAACGACTTCCCTCTAAAGGTCGTGTAGAAGCCTTGCAGCAAGTCTTATTATACGGGCCCTTTCCATCACAGCACCCCCTGATCTTTCTGCCCCTCCGTTCTAGGCCTAGGTATTCGGTGCTGACGGGAGGGGTAAAATGCCCCTTTTTCGAAGCCACTTTGAGATATTTTTCGTAAATAGCTCTCCGTTAGACCGTATCTTCTTTACCTTATAGCCAAAGTAGGAATTCATCCAGTTAACGAAGTCCCGGAGGGCAGACCAGTTGTGCTTACTTAGGTAGGTCCGTAAGAAATAGGGGAAAACCATCCCTAAAAAAGCGTCTGTGAAAAATATCACCCTAACGAAGCTTTCCTGATCCCTAGAGACGTCGGTCTAGTCGACCTAAATTTCCTTACACGGCTGGTCCGGCCGTAACGGCGTTCGTCTGGAAATTCGTCTCCTGGTCTTTCCTTGGCCGCAGTGTTCGCATTCGACGGTCTTTGGGCCCCTTAAGTCCCTGCACATAGAAATGGGCACCCCCCTGTTTTGGGCACCCCAAAAAAATCACGACCATTTTCAACACCATTAATTCAATCCCTTCTCACTGCCCACCACCGTGCACTACGATACAATCGTCACCTATTTCTGAAACCTCAGCTTCGGTTTCATCAGATTCTTCATTCTCAGCTGCGTTCACCTCCTGCTGCGTCGTATTGCCTCAATATTGGCGAACCTCGAATTCGGGCTCGTGACCACCCTCTTCCTTTTTTCGGCTTGACAGCCAATTGTGTTTCCAGTGCCTGAATCTGCAATTGAGCTTTTGCTAAAAGGCCATCCTTCTCGTCAAACCCTTTTGTGATCTTCCTGAACAGCAATCTCTTCGTGGGCACGTCGTCGTCTAGCTGGTTGAATTGAACTACCTGAACCTTCAGATCTTGCGAGCGCCTCGGGTCGACCACGCAATCTGGGATGTGTCTGATTGCCAGTCACTGGTGGGTAAGTGGCTATTGAATGCATTGGCCACATTTTCGCGTTCTTTTGCGTCTGTTGCTGTTCTCCAGCAGAAGAGGGCTCAAAAGGCTTCGCCATCGACACCGGCCACAAACCCGTCGCTTTCCAGCCACCCTGATGTTTGACACAGTGAGCGCTTGCTCGCGTGCTTTCTGGTAGCAGGAAAGAAAGTTTTGCTTGCCGACTGGGCTTGAATCGGTCAGGAGGCTGAGAAATCCGACCTGTTTGCGGTAGTAGTGCTAGAGCGGAGAAGACAGACAAATCGAGCGGTTGCAGCACATGAGAGGTATGGGAGGTAAGAAAAAAGAAGGTGAATCTGATGCTGGTAGCATAGATACATGAAGTCAACCGTCTCGTGACTTCCGTGGCCGTCCAATACTAGCAGTCTTCGCTCCGAAGGGTCGGGTGGCTGGGTTCTTGGAATGAACACCTTTGAGCCACTCCACCGCAGTTTGGTCCGAAGTCCAGCCGTTCTTTGTCGCAGTGTGCCAGTCACTAAAAGTACTGAGATCTTCTGGAACCACTGTTGCTGGACCGATTTGCCCTTGAAAATGACGGGTGGAGGAGGAAGGTGCCGGCAGCGGACACGCACTCGATGAACGACGTCCAGACCCGAGAACCAGGCGTCTTCTTTTGTACAGATCGTTTTTCAGCACTGCCAACGACCAGGCCATTCTCCCCAAGTCCTTCCATGATGCCTGCTTCATCCATGTTGTACCTGTTCTCCGGCTTAATAGCCAGAATCTCGGGAAGGAAGAAATTGTTGAACCAAGGCCGAATTACCTCGGTAGAAGCGCCGTTGACACGCGCAGAGTCTCTGTGATGGCACTTCTGGGTCCGAACTGCAGGATTTCGTCTTAAAAATGCTTGCATCCAGTGTTTTCCGAGCGGTGTGGTCTCCTTTGACGGCGAGCATGCGCTGCGCGAACTGCCTGATCTGCGAGTGAGTGGGAGGAAGGCCAAGGCGTCCTGAATGAGAATCCATTCGGTAAGTTGCTTTTCCTGTGTCTGAAAGCCTCTGAAGAGCAGAAAATGCATCCTTTCTGCATTCGTGACCATGCATGCGATTGTAAAGAGTTGCCCTCGGACGCCCCAATCGCGAGCAGCCTTCTTGGCGGATCCGCCATTGGCGATTGCCTCAAGGGCGCTGTGAATGTCAGACTCTGTATATTTCATCAGTAGTGGCTTGAAGACACATGCGTCAATTTTAGCAGATTGGATGCGTTTCCGCGGTGAAATTTGCTGTTGAAGTTGACGCAGCCGTTTAGGTTGGGCACCCATCTTGGGTGCCCAAAACAGGGGGGTGCCCATTTCTATGTGCAGGGACTTATTCGTACGCCTTGTTGTTGACCTAGCTTATGTAAAGCTAGGGGGCCCGGGTGACCAAGTCGTGCGTGCCAAAGAATGCCGTCTCCTTGGGCTGCTAGAAGAGGGTCCTTTGAACCTACCCTCCTTCGAGCAGGGAAAGCTAACTTCTCGAGAGGTTCCTTCCTAAGGATAGGTCGGAATTCGAGAACAAATTAACCGAATTTTTCCTCGATAAGCCCAATAGTCTGATTCTTCTAGACTAGCCTCGTAGGCTCAGACGTCGTATCCTAGAAGATTCCTTCCTTTCGAAGAAGGCGGAAGGAAATCAGGCTCGTTGAAAATCGAGGGCAAAAAGCTACCCTTTTTCTTCGAAGAATTCGTATAGATCCGTTAGGTAATTTTATCGTGAAATTCACCCTTCCGTATCCCTCTATCCGTACGGTTGATTCCCCGGCAATAAGATATTCCCTTCGTGCCTTCTTAAAGGACCGGAATCGTGAGAGTATATTGCATATGTCGAGGGAAGCACCCGAGTTAAGGATAGCTGATTTTTGTAGGGGATAGTCGGAGGGTTCTAACGGTTGGTCTTGGCCTTGTTGATCCGTAGGGAAGACGAAGGCCGGATTTGCTATACCAACGATTTTTCCTCGAATTTGCGGCTCGAATAAGGGCAGCGGCGTTAGTTGCTATTTCTTAGCAACCCGAATCTCGTCTATCTTCTTCTGCAACGAGGGGTCCTCCTTAAGAGACTGTTGTACTGTTTCTCGTAGCCTCTTTGAAGGGTTGATTCCTTCGGGTCGGTTTTCCTCGAAGACCTGCAGTCTTCTAGCCGATGGGGCTTTTTGCATGCTTGGCAGGTAGGTCGATTCCTTCTCGTACGTTGTCTCTTCGAGGAATCCTCGTCCCGGTCCGGAAGGTCTGCTTGAAAACCCCCCCCCTGTTGCTGATTTTGACGAAGAGGTTCGATTTCGACTAGTTCCTGATTTTTCGACTAACGGACTGAAAGGTCCATTGGGGACTAGTCGGGCCGGTCTGACTGACGGACCGGGGCGGGCGGAGCAAGAGGCGGAGGCCGGGCCTAGGGCAGCCGTTGATGACGGTGTTGATGCTCTCGAGGAGGAGGAGCCGAAGGAGCAACAGCCGCAGCAGCAGCAGCAGCAGCGGAGCCGCAGCAACAGGGGCTGCAGCAGCTGCAGGGCAGCAGATCGAGCCGTCTGGGTCGAGTGCTGGCCACGAAGGAATAAGACTGCTTGTTGTTGTACTCTGCAGCCTCTTCGTCTAGTCCCGGCTAGCTTCTCGAAAGATAGTCGAGTAACCGTTACTAATAGGCTTTATTAGCAGAGATATATCCAGCCACTGGCCGGAAAGAGCTTCTGTGAGGAAGTATTAGTTAGCTTCCTCGAGGATTTCTTCCCACTTAGCTAGCCACGAAGAAGCTAGCAGGTTCCTAGCAGAAAAGGCTCCTAGGTGTGCCGTATAGGTCTTCCTAATACGGTCAGTCATATACCCTCTCGAGGGAGCTATCGAGGTCTCGAGCTTTAAAAGCCACTGCCTAGGAGTCTCTTCCTCTCGAAGAGAGATTAGTTTTGCGGCACTAACGGATTCCGTTATTGCCGTACGAGCAGCAGTCAGCAGCTTCGTCTCGTAAAGGTATTCCTTTCGGTGACTCTCGTAGTCGCCTAAGCAGGGTGGTTTTCCATACATGGAAAGGCCTGCAATCGATAATCGGTATCGGCCCCACATTTATTGCAAGTATTGCAATACACCTTTCCATACTTGGTCCGTGCACGACGACAAAATGTCACTGAAGACACCTTCGACAAGATGGACAAATTCACACCATATGGTGAATTAAAAATACGAAGTAATTGATTGAGCTCAATGATAATGTCCAAAAAGAGAGGGTAGGCAAATCTTACGTGTTTTGTTCCAAGACGAGGAGGGAAATCAGACGGGAATTTGCACGAATTCTCACGCCACGGTCACGCCACCGCCCTTCCCTCTTCAAGACATTGTTCTTCACCCAATGCTTCAACCAATTCTCCTTTTCAATTTGGTCCGCATCCAATTGTGCCCTTTCCCAGGAGATCGTACGACGAGCCCCTGAAAACACCTGTTCCGCTCGTCGCTCATCGCTGGCATTGATAGGATGTCTATTGCCATTCGTGATAACTTCGGCCGTCGGTTCCTATGTCGCTCTTGAAGCCACCATGATAAAGCAGTTGTTGGCGCAATCTCATATGGATCACCTGAGATGTAATCTTCATACTCGTCTTGACTTGTAGGTCGAGCACAATTCTGCAGATTTCTTGAAATACGATCAAATGCATCAAGGCCATTGTCTTCTTCTTCGTCCAGTACATGATACGAAATTGTACCGTCGTTTGTATTTCGGTAAGAGTAGCAAAGGTCTTTGACCCGTTTGAAAGCAGTTTTATGCCACTTCTTCTAATTTGAGTGGATGTACGTCGTGCGATAGCTTGGATGAAGGACCAAAGAAGCGGCGTAATAGGGCGAATTCTCTTTATTGATAATTTCTTGGTCAAGGTAGCCTTTGAAGACACGGCCCAGATCCCACGCTTGCCCGTAGAGTTGATCAAATCCTTCGATGATGGACGGTTGAAGAGGAGATAAATTCTCTGCGACGTTGATGACATACTTTCTTGCCCTCAGGGTGTTTTCGAAAGCTGGCGGTGACAGAAGTACTGTAGGGATCATTCTGGGGACAATAAAGATAATATATGAGGCGGTTCCTGCCAACTGCTTCCCTAACCCTTTTACTACCGGTACATTACTGCCAGATGAGCATGTTTTCATGATCCAAAAGCAGGTTTTTCTCTTGTCTTGGGAGATATAGACGCGAATGAATCCGAAGCAATGGATTCAGAATCGAAGAAACATAACTAACACAGGCTCAGAATCCATTGTCGCCAGGTGATAATGGTATGCTGTGGGTTGGTGGTGAGGCTGATTTTGTGGATGTGCGGATTTGTAGCGGGGGTTCCAGGCCCACAGCCCCTGTAGGTAGCCCCCTGTAGGAACCCTTGTTAGTGGCGTGGTTCAGCCAATAGTATGGAAATACATGGATCCATATCCATACCTATTCCATGCCATTCATGGAAAGGGTATTTCCATATTTAGATATGGAAAACCACCCTGCGCCTAAGGCAGCAGAAAAAGCTCTCTGTTGTGCAGAGGTTAGCTCGGAGAAGAGGGTAGCTCCCTCTACAAAATCCGTTGCCCTAGGACGAAGAGGGGGCTCAAGAGGGTCCTGCTTGTCAGAGAAGACCAAATTGTGGATAGTTCTGTCCACACGAGCCCGTAGCTCCTTTACCCATTTATCCCAATCTTGGGGCTCTGTAAGAATCGTCCTACGGACCGTAGGGGTGGCAGAGTCGTTTTTCGACATCGTTGCGGAAGAGGGGGGGCAGAAAAGTCGGTTAAAAATCGGCTTTTCTAGTAAGAGGGGTAAAATAAAGCCACGAGGGATGCAAGAAAGGTGCCTTTTGCAGCAGCCGGAAGGTACAGGAATACTATTCCTCCCGGGCTCATAACTCTCGCGAAGAGAGATGCGAGAAGTGCATGAAAATGCACGAAGGTAAAATTGGAAATGGGGTCGGATAGGTAGGGCAGAGATGTTTGAATCTTGCGGGGCAGCAATTGCAGTAGGGGAGTGATTGTTGTATTGCCTTGATTGTCCTTCTTTCCTCTATCCAACGCCCCTCTTTATACCCTTCTAGCATCTCAATTAACAAAGAAGATCCTGCTTAAAGAAGCCACTAATGTCCTTTCGACTACCGAGCTTTTTGCCGGTTTTTCCCCTCCTTTCTAGCCGTTGCCGGCATATCCGTCTTATCTCTTCGCCACCTCCATAGGAAGCCATCGCCACTTCTGCTTCCCCTCATGCCCCCACCCTCCTTTCTGCACCTCTTTTCAGCTCCTTCTTCCTTCTTCCACACCGGGTGTTTTTCAGCTTCCTTGGTCCCTCTTACCAAGGGATATCTCCGAGAACTGCGAAATCAGGCCACGCTTCGCGATATATATACTAACTAACACGGCTATATAACCTAGTATCCGATATAAATAGAATAAAGGATATAATATAAAGATCTAAAGAGTTATTGCTACTCTAAGGAAAGACCTTAAATAAATTAATAAGGAGCTCGAGTTAAGAGAAACTAGCTCTTAAAAGAAAGAATAAAGCCTATAAAATAAAATAAAGAATATCCCTTAAGAATACTAGAAATATAATAAACTCTTTAAGGAAGAACTTAAGATAGGGTTACCTAAATATAGCTAATAGGACTACGAAACTTATTTTAAGGATAGAATAACGCCGACGTTCTATAAGATCTATAACTTAAACGAAAAGTAACTATAAACGCTACGCGACTACCTTAACGAGAATCTATAAAAGGGATATATATAAACGTTAATATCTTAAGTAAGCTACCTAGTTATATTTATTTTAAAGAAAAAGGGTAAGCTATAACTAGTTATCGACTATAGACGCTTAAATAATATTATAATAAAGGACCGAATACTATTACTACTTATATCGGAACTATAAGATCGACTATATAGTAAAAAATAGTTTATAGCCCTCGATCTTAAAGGCGCCTATAACTTAATACGTATAAAAAAGGGATATAAATAGATAATAGGCTTTAAAACGAAATTTATACTATTCGAATATCTAGTAATACTATTTAGACTTATAGATATACTAGCTACCTTTTAATAGATAATTAATAATATCCTACGCGAATACTTAGATATCTTTATAGTAGTATACCTAGATAATATCTTAATCTTCTTAGATACCTTGAAAGAATATAAGGAATACGTTTATAAGGTACTCCGCGTACTTTAGAATACGAAACTACTAGTTAAACTAGAAAAAAGTAAGTTCTATATATAGGAAGTAGACTTTCTCGGATATATAATCTTACTAAGAGAGATATAAATATAAT